CCCTGGTGCACGAGCCCTGCTTGGAGTCCCCGCCGTGCTCCCTCACCCAAGGCAAACGGCAGCAAGATGTACCTCCTCACTAGGCGACAGGCTCCCCGTGAGGCGCCGCTGGCTGGTGGCACCAGGCCACTAGCCCTGGGCCCTTGGCAAGGGGTAAGAGGGAGGCAACCTGTGCCAGGTTGCACGGCAGGTGACTTCTGTGTGCTGACTCATGGCCTGGGCACTGGACCCCTGGGCCAGGGCCTCCTGCAGAGCTGCTGTGGGGTGCTGAGCTTCCGGCCTACCTCTCAGGGGCTCAGTGTCCCCATCGGGATGTCGGGGGGAGGACAGACAGGTGCTCCCTCCCCTTAGGCACATAGCCAGGGGCCTGCGCTCCACCAGCGGATCTCAGAGGGTCCAGCTGGAGCTCGGGAGACAGGCAGGTGCGGGCAGGCCCCCGGTGAGCTGCTTGGAGCCCTGTGTGAGTAGGGGGGGGCGTCCTCACTCCTTCAGCCAGAAGCCCCTGTGGGAAGGAGTCCCACACTAAACAGAGATGGCAAACCCCCGCCCTCGGGCTGCGGGGGCCTCTCGGGGCTGGCTGGCCTCCTGTTTCTGGAGTGTCTGGCCCTGACCTGCTGAACCTCAGTAAATGCCAGCACCTCCCATGTCCCACGGCAGCCCCCGCAGTCCTGAGCCCTGGGGTCAGAGCTGCACCTGCGCACCCCGTGGCACCTCCCAACCTCACAGCTCTTCCGAGAGCCACAGCCCAGCTCTGTGTCTCTCCTGCAAGCTAGCTCCTCCCTCCCAGCCCCCCTGGGCCCCCTCCCACCGCTGCTGCTGATACTGCCCCCAGAACAGTCCTAGACCTAGCACCAGCCCTGCTTCCTGCCCGGCCTGCCCACCGCCTCTGGCTCCCCCAGCAGCCGAGGCCGCTGTCTCATCTTGGTGTCAGGTGCACGGGGTGCCGCAGCGGAGGGGGTGTCACCGGGTCTGGCCCTGCCAAGGCAACCGCAGGTGAGACTCAAAGAAAGTCAGTGACTTTGTAGCAGGCTCATTTTTAAGTTGATACTCTTGCACGGTGCCAGTGAATGATGCTATAAATACTCAAATGGCCCTTGGCAAAAGAAAGGTTCCCACCCCCGGCCTACAGAAAAGCTCACCGGGCCTCGGGGTGGGCACGTTTTGCAAAGTGAACGGGTCAGCCAGCAGCAGGGCACCCAGGCCCTGACACCTCGCCCCCACCCCCCAGCCGTCCCGCCAGCTCAACGCATGATCTATCACTCGGCCGTTCCGGCACTGGCCTGCCACTCCAGCCTCTGTCCCACAGCAGGCCAGGCCACTGCCACCGCTGCCCTTGGGTCTCAGGGCCAGCACCCCCCCGTCGCCGGCCTCCTGCACACGCGACGTCAACTTTCTGCCTCTTTCCCCATCCGCCCTTCGAACTCCACTGCCCAACGTGATCTCTCCCCACCGCCTTCTGTCCTGTTTGTCACCCTTCTCTCCCCTTCCTGGACGCCCGCGCCGAGGGGCCAGCAGCTCCGCGTCCTTCCTGCCTGCCCCGCACACTGCTGTCTGCCAGGGAGGCTAAGTGCTTACGAAACTGGAGCAGCAAGTGGGAGAGCGTGCCAGGGCAGCTCGTACGGGAGAGCGCCGGCGACAGCCCGTCCCAGCCACCTGCGCCCCCCCCCCCGCCCCCTCACTCACCCAGTTCTCCGTCTTCCTGGCCCTGCGCTCCAGCCCCTTCTGCAGGCGCTCGCCAACGCCCCCGGAGGTCTGGAACTCCTCTACCAGCTGCTTGGTGTGCGCCCACTCCTCCTCGCTCACGATGGGCTGCAGCGCCTGGAGGTAGTGGCCCAGGGACTGCTGCAGTGGGGGCACGGGCAGCCGCGGCAGCGCATCCTGGTGCGCCTTGAAGCGCCCCGACACCTTCATCAGGGACGAGGGCTTGAGGAGGCCCAGGGGCTTCACCTGCAAGCAACACAACACCTTGCTCATTCTCCCAGCAGCCCCGGAGCCGCGGTTGGGGCGCTTATGTACCCATCCCAGGGCGGGGAGTGGGGGTGTAGAGACAGCCTCTTGGGTGGTGCCCACCCTGGAGCTATAGGTGGCCCCGCCCTTCAGGGGCCTGGAGATGCAGGTAGGATGGGGTGGGGCCATCGATCTGGGCAGGGCTCAGGGGAGCCACGTCAGGCTGAGTGCACCTGCCGGCGTGGCTGAGGTGAGGGCCCTCCCACCTGTCTGGGTGCCCGGCCCCACCTTTCACCCTGGGAAGATGAGCCAGCCAGTAGAGAGGTGATTGCTCTCACCTCCTTCGCTCCTAACCTTTCCAGGTTGAGAAATAGAGGGAAGAGAAAATCAGAGAGCCAGTGACCACACCTCTGGGTGAGGTCAAGGCCTTGGGCTTTCTCCTTGGCCGTGGGTGGGGGACGGTGGAGGCGGCTGCAGCAGGAGAGCTGAGTGGCCTGGCATGGAGGGTGAGGGGGACAGAGGCAGAAAGTGGGAGACTGGAGGTAGAGTTCTGGGCTGCCGGCGCGGCGGGCAGGCAGGCGGCAGAAGCTCCGTCCCGCACCTCCTCTCTCTGGGCCCTGCCTGCCTGCCTCGGCCGCGTCTCTAAGTCTAACTGTGCTACTGAGCAGGTGAGCTTCTAGAACCTAGGCCACCTGCCCCCGCTGGAAACAGAAGACATGAGCCAAGATGCAGGGGGCAGGCAGGTGGCAGCGGCTGTGCCAGCATTGGGCGGTTGGGAGTGGCAGGGGGGCTTCCCCGCCGTAAAGGCCCTCCACCCTCCCCAGCTCCCAGGAGTGGAGGAATGGGGCTGGGGAGGGGCCAGCGGCGGGCCCCGGAGTAGGAGGAAACCTGGTAAAACGCCTCTGGGTGGGCTCAGCGCCAGGGAGGCAGGCCAAGAGGTATTAACAAATCCACCTGTCCAAATCTGCGAAGATCTGTTTGATGTGGGAACACTTGGCTGGAAGGCAGACAGTGCCTGGCTGCTGAAATTATAAACGGTAACCCTGGAATCGGGGCTGGTGCGAGGGAGCAGACACCAGGGAAAGGCCGTTAGTGGACAGCGGCCACCAGAGCCCTGCCCGCCTCCCCACCGCCAATGCTTCCCTGCAGGATGCGCAGGGGCCCTTGTGGGCCACCCCCTACCAAAGCCGGGAGCCACACGTGGAGGACTTCTGGTTTGAACAAGAAACCAGGGTGCGGAGCCTGGGGGCCTGGGCTACGTTTGAATGAGCAGACCCAGGGGGCTCTGGCCGGCTCTCTCCGTGCCTCAGTTTCCCCAGTAGCAAAGGGAGGACCTGGAAGCTGTCTGTGGGGGTGGGACACAGCTTCGCCAGCAGTGGCAAAGGTGCCAGGACCCCCCGTGAGCTGGGGGTGCCCCTGCAGCTCTCTGGCTGGGTCTGAGACAGTGGGGTACCTGCAGAGCTGTGCCTGCATCAGAGAGAGGAAAGGAACCCCAACAGGGCAGCCGCCCGGGGCAGGGGGACTGCCACCTGCTGCCTCCTGCGCTCCCGCCGACTTTCTGAGCTGCCCAGTTGGCTGCCTCCATGCGAGCTGCCCTGGCAGCCCCGGTGGCCGTCTGGTAAACCCGAGGAGAGCGTTTAAGTGTCGGCCACCACGGGCATGGGACTCAGAAAAACAGGGAGAGGCAGTGCCGGTTCAAGCCGCGCGTCTCCACCTCCCGCTCGGTCTAGGGGTGCGTGCGGAGGCCCGCGTCCTCGCTGTCTTTTCCGGGTCGCTGGAACTGCGCGCCGCGGGACGCGAGTTCGATCCGGCCCTGACCTTGCGCCTCCACCCCCTCCTCTGCCACACCGGGGTTGGGGGGGATCCCCCTGCAGGCCCCGCCCCAGCCAGAGCCCCCGGCCGCGCCGCTCCCAGGCCCGCGCCCCGACCGGCGCAGTGGCGCAGCCGGCCCGGCCGGGGCCCTCCCGCCCGGACTCCGTCCGCACTCACCATGGTCCTGGCGGCAAAGGCTAACATCTTTGCTGTCTGCCCGCGGACGCGCAGGCCGCTCCGCCCACCAAACCGGGCAAAGTCCGCTTGGCTGCTGCGGCCGGTGGGTCCCCGCTAGAGCTTCAGGGCCAAGGTCGCCGAGTCACCGCCACCAGCCGGTAGAGGCGGCCCCGCGCCCACCCACCGGGCCGGTCGGGCGGCGGGCGGACGGCCCGGGGAGGACACCGGGGCGGGGCCTTGGTCACGGAGCCCCGGGCGGCTAGCCGCGAGCCCGGGGCGGGGCCACGGCAGGCGGGGGCGGGGCCAACAGCGGGCCCGGGGCGGGGCCACCTTGGGGCGGGGCCAATAGCGAGCCCAGGGCGGGGCCAACAGCGGGCTCGGGGCAGGGCCACTGCGGGGAGGGGCCAATAGCGAGCCCGGGGCGGGGCCACGGCAGGAGGGGCGGGGCCAACAGCGGACTAGGGTGGGGCCACTGCGGGGCGGGGCCACGGCGGGCGGGGAGGCGAGCGGCGCGCAGCTAGCGGTTGTGCGACACCGTGGAGCGCTGGGGCTGAGGCAGAGGGGTAAGGCGAGGTCAGGGTTCAGCTCTTCCCCCCGCCTCCAAATGCCACTGAAGCTGTGCGCCCTCATAGGCGGCAGGAAGACACAGGGTGACGGGAATGTCCTCTGACATTCTTTAGATTAAGATGACAGCCGGGACCGGCTCCCAGAAACATGGCTGCTGCCCCCCCCTTAACCCCTCCACAAAAACTTGACACCCGCGAAAGTACGGCTGCCGGGCGGGCCACTAGCGGTCGAGCAGCGGCGCGGCAGTTGGGGCGCAGTGCGCATGCTCCCGGGCGCCCCGCACTGACATGGCGGCCCCTCAGTGCGCATGCTCCGCAGGCGCCCCGCACTGACATGGCGGCCGCCCGTCGTCGCCGCGGCCGTCGCGAGCCGGCCGTTGCTGGGCATGCTCGCTGAGCGCCCGGCACCAGCATGGCGGTCGTCTCGGCGGGGGTGACTTTAATTCTCGGTTTTCGGTGATAGCAGACCGGCGCTCGTTGCTCTCCGGAAAACTCGGAGCCCGTGGCAGAGCCGGGGACCTGAAGAGCGGGTGCGGGGTGAACGCCGAGAGGGGACTGCGGGCGCCGCGCCGGCTCCGCGGAAGATGGCTGAGGGCGAGCGGCAGCCGCCGCCAGGTAGGGCCGTGGTGTGGGGCGCAGCCGGGAGGGGCTCGGGGGCGGCGGGGCTCGGGGGCGCCGGCCGGGCGGCGGGGCTCGGGGGCGGCGGGGTGCGGGGGCCTTCGGCGCGCCTGCCCCGGCGGAGGAGTTAGCCGGAGCCCGGCGGCTGCCCGGTTTATGAGCGCCGCTGGGGCCGGGGCCGGTCGCTGCCCTCCGCCCCCAGGCCCGGGGCCGGGCTCTGGGGTTTATGGAGAGAAACTGCCCCGGGTGTGCAAACCCCTCGTTTATAGGAAGGCGGGTTGAGCAAGACAGAGACTCGCCGCGGGCATCAGGGCCTCTGAGCTGTGTTTGCACTGGGGCCTCGGCCGGCGGGCTGGCCTTAGGGGACCCCGGCCTCGTGCGGGAGAGGGCGGTGGGCGGCCCGCGACCCCTGCCCGGCCTGGCATTCCCTGGGCGCTGCGAGAGGCCTCCGGAGGGCGAGGCGCCCCCCAGCTCCCCAGGAGGAGAGCGATAGACAGACCCGGGTCTGGGCTGTGCGGGCTCTGCAGGCTGGGGTCGTGGCTGCCTTGGGCCGAGCCCCCCGTGCAGGTGCAGCGCGGGCGGGAGGCCCCCAGGGCCCCGCACTGCCCGGAACGAGAGAGAACAGATTCTCCTGGACCCGGCTCTGCCGCGGTGGGGGCTCGGCGATGGGTCGCGGTCCGAGCCCCCGGGGGCTTGGGGAGCGTGTCTGCAGCTCGGGTCTCCGTCTGAGTGACTTCCAGGCCGTCCTGGAAGGACACAGGTTCCTGCCCCGGGAGTGTGCATTGAGGCATCTGAGGCGTTGGTCGGTGCAGGGCCTCCCGGAGGGCCTGGCCTGGACGTGTCCCCCCCGCCCCCCCACGCTGCTGGCCTTGCCCGCAGGAGCCGTTCTCACACCGACCGAGACCGGAGGCCTCTGCCCCGCAGCGTTTGGAGCTGGGTGCGGGGGACGTGGAGCGCGTTTTCCCATAACAGCGTCGTGCCGGTTACCGCCTGGCCTACAAAGCTTTTTATGTAGCATCCTGCCTGAAGTAGCAATTTACTAATAGTAGGGGCCTTAATTTGGGTTCTGGGAACAAGGTTTGCCGGCCAGGAGGCGGGGAGAGAGCTTCCGGTCCCTCTTGCTGGGGCCCTGGTGTGCCTGTGCCCTGCCCTTCTCCCACACGGGGTCCCCTCTGTGTCCCGGGTGTGCCTGTGCCCGGCCCTTCTCCCGCACGGGGTCCCCTCTGTGTCCCGGGTGTGCCTGTGCCCGGCCCTTGTCCCGCACGGGGTCCCCTCGGTCTCCTGGGTGTGCCTGTGCCCGGCCCTTGTCCCGCACGGGGTCCCCTCTGTGTCCCGGGTGTGCCTGTGCCCGGCCCTTCTCCCACACGGGGTCCCCTCGGTCTCCCGGGTGTGCCTGTGCCCGGCCCTTCTCCCGCACGGGCCCCCTCTGTGTCCTGGGTGTGCCTGTGCCCGGCCCTTCTCCCGCACGGGGTCCCCTCTGTGTCCCGGGTGTGCCCGTGCCCGGCCCTTCTCCCGCAGGGGGTCTCCTCTGTGTCCCGGGTGTGCCTGTGCCCGGCCCTTGTCCCGCACGGGGTCCCCTCTGTGTCCCGGGTGTGCCTGTGCCCGGCCCTTGTCCCGCACGGGGTCCCCTCTGTGTCCCGGGTGTGCCTGTGCCCGGCCCTTGTCCCGCACGGGGTCCCCTCTGTGTCCCGGGTGTGCCTGTGCCCGGCCCTTCTCCCGCACGGGGTCCCCTCTGTGTCCCGGGTGTGCCTGTGCCCGGCCCTTGTCCCGCACGGGGTCCCCTCGGTGTCCCGGGTGTGCCTGTGCCCGGCCCTTCTCCCGCACGGGGTCCCCTCTGTGTCCCGGGTGTGCCTGTGCCCGGCCCTTCTCCCGCACGGGGTCCCCTCTGTGTCCCGGGTGTGCCTGTGCCCGGCCCTTCTCCCGCACGGGGTCCCCTCGGTGTCCCGGGTGTGCCTGTGCCCGGCCCTTCTCCCGCACGGGGTCGCCATCGGTCTCCAGCGTGTCTAGTATTTTTCCTTTCCTCATGGCCTCCCTGGAGCCCCAGGTGTCACATATTCCAGAACCTTCTTAGGTTGCTGTCTCTTTTTTCCGTGGTTGGTGTCATTTAGGTTTGAGGAGGAGGGTGGTGGAGCAGACTCCTGCACCTGTGGCTGGGGCCCTGTACGCCCCTGCAGACGTGCGTCTTCGCAGGAAGTGCACGTCGCCAGCTGCAGACTCGGGCCACAGCTCCCTGTCCTCCCTGTGCAGAACCCGTGGGCCCAGCTGCACCCTGGGATTCGGCTTTTCCTGGTTCAGAAAGCAGCACCCCATCAGCACAGACGAGATTACCCGAGCCAGAGGTGCACACATCTGCACAGTGAGGTGCCGGCGCTCCTCAGTGCTTCAGTCTCTGTGCCGAGTGAACGTGGGACAGACGCACTGAACACACTCTGTGCCGAGTGAACGTGGGACAGACGCACTGAACACACTCTGTGCCGAGTGAACGTGGGACAGACGCACTGAACACACTCTGTGCCGAGTGAACGTGGGACAGACGCACTGAACACACTCTGTGCCGAGTGAACGTGGGACAGACGCACTGAACACACTCTGTGCCGAGTGAACGTGGGACAGACGCACTGAACACACTTTGGGCGTCAGAGCTTCTTGGACGTGGGGTTATGAATCAGGAGTTGAGGGCTTATACTTACCAGGGTCCTAAAATGAAGGGGGTCCTCCCAGTGTGTGTGTGAGACAGAGCGCGCGCGCGCACGCGAGAGATTGCTCCTCTATCCGCTGGCGCTCTCCTCACATGACCGCAGCGGCCAGGCCTGGACCAGGCCAGAGGCAGGAGCCGAGAGCTCCATGCTGGTTTCCCGCGTGGGCAGCAGCGCCCAGGGACGTCAGCCATCATCTGCTGCCCCCGTGCGCTGAGCAGGAAGCTGGGTCAGAGCAGAGCGGGGACCCAGGCTGGAAGGGGTTTTTCTTCTCGCTTTGGAGTCACTCGGATTTCGGGAATCACCCCGCAGTCACCAGTGCGTCGGTCCCGAGTGCACTCACGAAGCAGCCGCCCGTTCAGGCTGCGGCCGGCCGGGGCCATGCGGCTCACAGTGAGAAAGGGGAGGTTTTGGGGGCTGGCGCTGTGGCGCAGTAGGTCAATCCTCCACCTGCAGTGCCCGCATCCCATATGGGCGCCAGTTCTAGTCCTGGCTGCTCCTCTTCCAGTCCAGCTCTCTGCTGTGGCCTGGGAAAGCAGTAGAGGATGGCCCAAGTCTCTGGGCCCCTGCACCCATGTGGGAGACCCAGAAGAAGCTCCTGGCTCCTGACTTCGGATCGGCACAGCTCTGGCCGTTGCGGCCGTTTGGGGAGTGAACCAGCAGATGGAAGACCTTTCTCTCTCTCTCTCTTTGCCTCTTCTTCTCTCTCTGTGTAACTCTGACTTTCAAATAAATAAATAAAAAACTTTAAAAGGAAGGTGAGGTTTCGATGGAGAAAGTGCGGTGGCGCCTGTGCCCGGGGAGGCCTCCCGTGAAGAGCGTGGGAATTCCAGTTCGTTAAGGAAGCGAAAGGATGAGAAGCAGAGCGGGAGGAGCAGGAGGAGGATTCAACAAGTGGCCATGCCGTGTCGGGGACGTGGACGTGGGACGTGGGACAGCGGCGCACTCCGCTGTAGAAGGCGTGGCCTGTGGAGAGGAGACAGCAGCGAGGAAGAGGAGGGTGAGGTCGCCAGGGAGCCGGGAGAGGAAGGCGAAGGGCTGGCGGAGGAGGCCTCTGGGGGGATCGGGTCAGTGTCGGAGCAGCAGGCGCGATGGAGCCTCGCCGGAGCCAGCCCTCGTCCGCTGTAGAACGGGAGGCCGAGGCGCTGGAGCAGGAAGCGGGGCGCGTGGCGTGGCGGGAGGCGCAGGTGCACACTCCGGGTTGTAGAGGCGGGACCAGGAAGGAGCAGGGGTAGGGGGACACAGGAGGTCCCGGGCTGCCGTGAGCACTGGGGGACATGAGGCAGGGAAGGTTGGGAGCTAGAAAGAGTGAAGAGGGCCAGAGGCGGAGGAGGAAGCCGGGCCTGGCAGAGCCCGGGCCCAAGGGCAGAGTCATCAGCGACTCAGCATGGGGCCAAGGAAGCGCCCAGAACACCCAGTTCTTTCAGCAGGAGGCAGCTGGGGCTGGATAACCATCTGCCAGGAAAACAGCCCGGGGTTCACTGGGGTTCAGCTCCATCATTCCTCCAGCTCTGGGACATGAGACGTCTTTTTTAAGAATTTTTTTTTTTTTTTTTTTGACAGAGTTAGACAGAGACAGAGAGAAAGGTCTTCTTTCCATTGCTTCACCCCCCAAATGGCCGCTATGGCCAGCGCGCTGCGCCAATCTGAAGCCAGGAGCCTCGTGCTTCCTCCTGGTCTCCCATGGGGTGCAGGGCCCAAGCACTTGGGCCATCCTCCACTGCATTCCCGGGCCACAGCAGAGAGCTGGCCTGGAAGAGGGGCAACCGGGACTAGAACCTGAGGTGCTGGTGCCTCAGGCGGAGGATTAGCCTAGTGAGCCGCGGGGCCGGCCTTAAGATTTACTTATTTGAAAGAGCAACAGAGAGAGAGAGAGAGGTCTTCCACCGCTGGTTCATTCCCCAGATGGCCACAACGGCTGGAGCTGCGCCCATCAGGAGCCAGGAGCTTCTTGCACAGCGCTGGCCCCGACACGAGAAGTCTTAGCACCTGGCGTCGGACTTGCTTTCCCCGTTGTTTGTGTGGCCGCTGTACTAGGCTGTTGGGCCTGTCTCTGCAGCTGCGTTTCGGGGTTTGGACTCAGCTGAGAAGCCCACAGAAAAGCCCTCCGCAGGCACTGGCGGCTCCCGTTTAAAACTTCCTGGCACCTCGGTCTCGTCTCTGCTGTGCTTCCCTGGTCACCTGGGGCTGCTCTGGTTCCTTCTTCCCGCCCCTTAGCTTGGGTCAGAAGCGCGAGCGCGGGTGGCGTGGACAAAGCCCGTCTTCACCTTCGTGTTAGGGGCAACATCCCGGGCGGTCGAAGCTCACTGAGGTGTTTCCGTTTTCAGTTGGAGTCAGGTTTCTGAGTGGGTGTAAGTTTCGATCTGTTGATGTGTCGGAAGTCCCACCCCAGGATTTTTATCACGGGGCTGGTGAAGCCCGCAGGGGAACCCGCGTGAGGAGTGAGGGCCGGGTCCGCCGCGGGGGCTCTCGGAGTTTCACCGTCCCCTCTGCCTCAGACACGCAGGACTGTCGATGGCGCGCGGGTTTATTCCATGAGCAAAAATAGGGGTTTTGGTTAGAAAGAGCAGAGCAGCCAGGCCTGCGCTGGTGCTCCGCTGTGCGGTGCGGGCGGCAGCACCGGCCCCTCCTGGGGCGCCTGCAGCTCGGAGCGGGGCCGCCGCTGCACGTCTCCCTCGCTTCTGGAAAATGGGAAGGCTCCCTGCAAACTGGGGTTCCCCACGGTTACAGACAGGCTGTCCTTGTGCTGGAATAATGGGAGCTGAGAACGGGAGTTGTGTGAGACACACCCTGTGGAGGTGACTGAGAACCAGGAGTTGTGTGTGACACACACCCTGTGGAGGTGACTGAGAATGGGAGTTGTGTGAGACACACCCTGTGGAGGTGACTGAGAACGAGGAGTTGTGTGTGACACACCCTGTGGAGGTAACTGAGAACGGGGAGTTGTGGGTGACACACACCCTGTGGAGGTGACTGAGAACGGGAGTTGTGTGTGACACACACCCTGTGGAGGTGACTGAGAACGGGGAGTTGTGTGAGACACACCTCGTGGAGGTGACTGAGAACGGGAGTTGTGTGTGACACACCCTGTGGAGGTGACTGAGAACGGGGAGTTGTGTGAGACACACCTCGTGGAGGTGACTGAGAACGGGAGTTGTGTGTGACACACCCTGTGGAGGTGACTGAGAACGGGGAGTTGTGTGTGACACACCCTGTGGAGGTGACTGAGAACGGGGAGTTGTGTGTGACACACCCTGTGGAGGTGACTGAGAACGGGGAGATGTGTGTGACACACCCACTGTGGAGGTGAGTGAGATCGGAGGTGGTGGGGGAGTCACCTCGTGTGGGTGATTGAGAGTGGGAATGGTGTGTGAATCACTCTGCCTTGGTGAACTAGAAAAAATGGTGTGTTTGATACTTCTGCGCAGTTGGTGGCGGGAAAAAACTAATTGTGACCATTTTATGCCTCCCTTGAGG